AAAACTTTTTGCATCCCTGTGAAAGTTTCTTTCGAATTCTCTAACGCGCTAATTTTCGCTAGATTCGAGGTATCTCGCGATTCAATTACAGATCACTGCAAATGATACGTAATTCATTTCCTACGTTAGACACACATATTATATCTGATTAAATAACCTTTAAAAGAACGTTCGCTCGCCATTTGCTATGTCAGACTTTAGCTCAAAGTCGACGGAAATTTATTCATGGAATGGCTAAAAGGCAGGGCAAACGAGAACGTTGTTTCATCGACTGAAATGAAATTTCGAAACTGAATCGGAAAATAATCATGTTATTCACCTTCTGCCTCTATAGATATTAGGTAGCCTATTGAATCAACGACAAACATCGATTGTCATTCTGCATGTATCGAAATTAAATTTTCAGTGTAATTAATTAGAAACTCGAATTATTGAAAATGATTCGTCCATATTAAAATCGACAATAAATTTATTAAGAATTTACCACATAAAAGTGTCGATGGAAGTAAATATTTGCTGTCGATAATTTCGATGAAATGGATTCTTGTGTTCTTTGCTAACTTACTGTTAGGGAAGAAACAGCTCCGCTGAAAATATTCCATCGCTAACTGCTCTAGATAACGGTGTCATTGAAATTAAGCGTTCGATGAAAAGATCACTCGAGATACACCATGCCCCCTTCGTAGAATAGCTTGCTAATGAACTTACCAAGCCAGCATATCGTCCTCCGTCCACGAAGCCTGTGCAACACCGTTAATTGCGACGAAATTTTCGATTAATGACGCATTAAGCCCTTAAACGAAGATGAATCTATCGGACGCGTAATCGACCGTATTCAGAATACTTGAATTCTCAATCTGTCGACAGGGATAGATTAGATATCAGAGATCACCGTTGAAATAAATAGTCTGATCAACGATATTGGCATCGTACTCTTCAATTTTTTTTATGACAATATAATCTCGCAACTTTACGACAGAGGGCTCAACTGATTGTGTTGCACACTTACTTTGTTAAGGAAAAGTTGTAATTAACTGCAACGATAACTTTTTTCTCTTTTCTCGCGCGTGCAAACGAGACTCTGATCACAAGGGTTTAATAACACAACGAGAAGTTCCCATAACGGGGGAAGTTTCGAGCTTGGGAATTTGAAAGTTTCGCGACACGAAAGCCACGATGTTCGAAAATGCAGTATACCAAGGGCGGGGAAGTTAGATCGCCGTAAAAATTCATCCCAAGTTATTCCCAAACTTGAATTCTCCTTCCTGTTAAGATATTTCTGACGAGAATCGCCGCGGACGTGGAGGCAGACTCGAGAAGAAACTCGAGAATGCCAATGAGGATCTCTCGCGTATGCTGAATTTTGCCCACGCTCTGCATAAACACATTGCATGGATTCTGCGAATACGCGGGCCCGCGATGTTTAAAACGAGTTCCTAATTCCGTGCCTTTCAAATTCAGTCGGCCGTTCCCGGAAATTTGCGACATCTTGCTAATTCGTCAGCGCGGAGGAAGGAATCTCGATTTCCTTTCAACTTCTTCCATTCGCTTCTGTTTTAAAAATCAAAAACACAAAAGCTCGTCGTGATCTGTAAAAACGAGAAAAACTTACACTCTGTTGTCGAGACTGAATTATAATTTTATCGAAGAAATTTAATATTGAACGGCGACTCGATTGGCCCCAAAGTTAGGCATTCAGTTGCTCGAGAGATTAATTTGCGCCACGAAAGACAATCGTCAACCGTTTCGAAGAAGGCGACACCAAAGAATTTCGATTAGAAGCACTCACAGGTAGAAAATATCTTACGTATTTTCGGCTGAAATCAAAGCGTAATAGTTTGCTCTAAATAGTGAACATCGAACAGAGCGTGACGTAATAACTTACATGTACAGAACGGTTAACGAAGTGAACAATTACTTTGACGGACAATTTCAAGCCTATGTTAAATTAATTTTCCACGAACAATAAGACTTGTAAGGCAATATTCAACAATATTCACTTTGTTCCCGCTACGAATTAAAAGAAAATTTATCGACCACTGAAACATCGTCTCAATATTATTTTTATTTTGTTTCCTACCTATTCTTCAGATTTTTTAGCATAGTTTAATGGAAATAAGACGAACATCGTGATCGGAGGGATTTTTCGAGTAAATTCGCCAGCGAACGAATCGACAGACAGATTAAAGTAGAAAGGGTTTTAATGAATCCTTGATGAAGCACGAAAAGTGGCAAGTGAGTAGATCGTTAAAGCTTCGATACAGGTTGCAGAGTATCTATCAACGAGGCAATTGGCCGCGCGCTCTACGGGCTTTGTGCAAATGGAAAACGGAATGACAACGATTACCCTGATATCTTTGTCCCTGGTGAATTTTCTACAGTGTGACGCTGTACAAACGACTGTCGTGATACCCTCGTCGAGAAACCCTGTCAGGTGTTCTACGCAAAAATATTTATCGAATGTCAATACGTCGAAAGAATCGTTGTTACCTTTCCATTATATTCAAGTCTGTCAACGGTTCTATCGATCCGATAGGCGAGACACGAGCTCTAAAGGACATCCCATTTATAATTTTGATAGAATAAATATTTGATTAACTGCGAGAACTTGATTCTTCGACAATTGAACGCGACTTATCGTCGAATTCTCAATTGTAGAACAGGTCGTAAAAAAAAAAAAAAAAAAGAATGACACGAATAGCAGCAAATTGCAGAATAACACTTGCAGAATGTTTTCTACATTTGTGAACAGTCATTTTTCAAATCAATTCTCACATGTAAAATACTTTCAGAGAAAAATACCTCCGCGAAGAATAAAAATGCAATTCGCGTGCTTCCACGAGTTTCTAAAATACACGTCTGAGGATGAAAATCAGCAAACTGGATAAATTGATTATTATCGTAATATATTATGTTAATTTGAACTTGCCTCAATTTGAACCTCCCTGAAGTGAGGCAAGTTCTAGATGTACAGTGAGCCATGATGCACGTTAACAAGTTAATTTAGTAGAACGGTCTGGTATGTCGAATAGGTCTGTTTCGCCTGTAGAATGTCGAATGATCCATACTATTGGATAACCCATTATGCTACGCTATGCCTTGTGAATCTATTGATGGAGTCTTAACTTGTTAACCGTAACAGTATGTCACAAATATTCTTCGAATGATTAGTCAATTAACTGCCAAAAGCAGAATTTACAAAATTGAAACTATGAATTAAATAATTTACCAATTGTCGTGATCATGACGGTTATTTAATAACTAGTATTAACAATGGGAACGATGGGAATTTCATTTGAATATTTAAATAAAAAACAGAAGTGAAGCATCAAGAATATCAATGCAAATTATCTTTGTCAATTTGAGGAAACATCAATCTCGCTGCGAATCAATGCATTTTCATCTGAATTTGTTTAAAGTTGTAACATTGCCTATAACCGATGTAGATCATGTTTTGCTTAATTGAGAAAACGTCAATCTCCCTTTAGTCAATCAATGTATCTTCATGAAAAAATTCGTACGTCAATTCAGCAATTTCTTGTCAATCCATCCAATATTAATTTTACATAACTCGTGTTCTGAGAAAATAAATGAATATCTGAATATATAGTGGAATAGTTCCGTGAGGGAAGGACGATACAGATTTAGATAAAATAAACAATTCAAGCCAAATTATAAGTTAAACATTGTAGGTCGTATAGACGGGTAGATTTATCAGTTTAAGTATAATTCAAATGTATGGTAGCATAGTTAGACAATTAAGTGAATATACTGAATATATAATATCTTCTAGTTTGCACACATTGGTTCTTTGAATATTAACATACTGTAATTGTTATGGATGATTTATTGCTGAAATATATTACGATGTCCCACGTAACTGGAACAAGCTGTATCTTCCAAAGGGTTGCAGATAGAAAAAAAATGTTATAGGACAAAATTAAACGATATCAGACGAACAATAGCATAATCATAAAAAAGGATGCTTCATTCGATACAATTCAATTCCGTCTTGTAACATTTTATCTAATCTCTAACCGTTTGGGAGAAACAATTTGTTCTAGTTGTGTGTACAAATAATAAATAAATTGTGTCGAATAACCTAATAAATTTTCGTAAAAAATTTTGAATTATAGGGGATTTGCATTAATTAAATTGTAAATTTAAATTTAAATTGAAAGAATAAAACTTGAGGAATAATAATGTAAATTACAAATATATATATATGCGATTGATAAATGATAAGTGATTTAAAATCTTGTATATCAAACAACAATCATTCGGCATTTCATGGTGATATGATACGCGTATTATCGGGAAATAAAATTCGTAGAACTTGATGCACATACACGAAAATAAATGTGCGTTGTGAATGATGATCCGAGCTAATGAGCGATCTCGTTGATCGTAGGAGAACCGTGATCATTATGAATTTGTAAAGTGACTGCTATCGATAGCAGTATATAATAAATTAACTGGTTCAGATAATGAGTGATTTATGCTTTGTTCCTATCATTTATCGCGTCACTCTTGTGTAATTTACAAAATACAGTAGCTGAAGATTGTGACTAAACTAGACAGGATTGTACTCGACGAGAAATTATGTTTGAATAAAAACTAAATTTGGAATGTAATAAATTTAAATTAATTTACGGTGGATTAGATTTCAAGACTCGACTCTGTGGTTTTCACTCTTGAAGTAGCATCATTTTTCCGAAATAAATATCTCGAAATCAATCATCAACAAGAGACGTAAAATCGTCGAAGATTTTTCTGATTATAAATAATTCTACCCAAAAGCACAACATTGTGAAAAAAAAATTCATTCTACTCCTCGACGTATGAGCACTCAGAGTTCGCACCGATCAGAAAGAAAAATGAAAACATTCAATCGCGTCATGTATTATTTCTAAAAAAAAAAAAAGAGTCTATCTCTCGCAATACCGAGATTAAGCTTCGAGAGATAACTTAATTTCTTTATGAGAAATCGCGTACCAAATAATAAGACAGTGAAATTTATAAAAATTCGAGTCGATCGGCCTGAGTTCGTGAGAAGTTCGGCGTAACAAAATCATGCATCCTCGACGAGATTTTACCTGATCCCGGAGAGACAACAGGTAACACAGGTGAACGCTCGACTTACCTGAAACACAAAGAGAAAACGGAAGTCGATTAGTCGCGCGTCAAAGTGCTCGTGCGTCGAATCGCGTGCAAGAAACCCCTCGGCGAGGGGTAAGAAGTGGGCGGTTAGCCACTGGTGTTAATTCGATTCGAGGTAGAAGAAGTCGACCGTACATGGCCGCAGGAAAGATTTAATACGATTTGAAGGGACGTCCGTGAATTTTCGCGGAAGTTCCCTTGGTTCTTTCGCGCGTGCACGTTCGAACCAGAAATTCCGCAATGCGGACTATCGGGGGTGAATTCACAGACCGGCTATATACCGGGTGTCCCCCGCCGCACTCTCCTGCCTCCGTCGCTCTTTCAAACGTTCATTTTCTTTTTTTTTTTTTTTTTTTTTTTTTTTTTNTTTTTTTTAACTGTGACGGCCCAACGACCTTGTCTCCCTTCTCTTTTATTCTTCTCCCACTATGCTTATCGCTGCGCGAAACTGGCACGGGATCGTTGATAGAGGAAGGTGACTTCAACACCTCGTCGCAATGGGTTCGTAGATGGAATTTTTTTTAGTAAGATTCCACAATTTATGAAACGCTCGAAACTCTCGGAGCAAGCAGCATGTTTGCTTCGAAGTGCTAAAACTGTATTATATAACGCAAGATATATAAGCGTTTATTATCTACGATAAACTTCCGGAAAAGAAAATTTCCAGATTTTACACGAAATACTGATTGCTGATATCGATCGATGCCTACATTAGAAGACTAGTTGCTGCGCGCTATCATTCAAAAGTTCTGTTTCCCTCTCGTGGTTTTTTTAAATTCCACCGAAATTACGGAATACCATAAACAGAGGAAGAATCAAGCCGCATAAGCTCTGCCACGAGAACGTTCGAAGAATTTCGCTCGCATATTTAGATTTATTCGTCGCATTTAGACTTTCGTACAATTAATTTTACATCGTATTAAATTGCGATACATTATTTCGTCATTATCCACTAACAAGGAATATCAACGTTTACGAATGAATATTCATTCGCGGATCAGCAATTGTAATTCGATGCAATTAGATCTATAACATCGAAAAAAAGAAAACAGAAATTGATTTCGAAATGCGAGAAATCTCAAAATTCCGGAATCGTTTGTCTGAGTGAGAAATGGCATTTTCTCACGATCTTGTGGCGAAAGTTACCGTGCAATTAGGCTAGAAAATATTTATTATCGAACACGATAATAAATATTTTTTTTTTTTAATTAACACGTTTGTTTCATGTTTCAGCGTAATCAGAAGAGAATTTTTATATTCCATCGTTAAAATAAACTATGAACATGCTGTGAATATTATTATATTCATCATGATATATCATATTATAGAATATAGTGAATGAAGAAAATGTTTCGTATAATTAGACTCTCTAAAATTTAAACGAGGTAAAATAATGAATCTCGTGGGCTCGTGAAAAATCGATAAGACAGATGGTGTGGTCAGGAGGAATTATGTTACATAACCACATAAATATTTATGCTCTATATTATTCCTTAAAATATCTGCTATAAAGTAGCAATGTGCGACAGAAAAATATTATTACTCTAAAAATTAGGCCTAAGTTGCTTTCTCATAAAACTGAAAATATAATAAAAGTTGAAAGGTTTTTAATAAGAATATTGTTACTCTAAAAATCAGGCGCAAGTTAATTTCTAATAAAACTGAATGATATAATTTTATTTTCTGTGAAATTGTGTAAAATGTGTCGGCGAACGTCGTATTCATCTGCGAGATAGTCAACCGTGTAAAATTCAACGAGTAATTGTAAAAAACAATAATTTATATTCGACGGGGAACGTCGAAAATAAAGAAACCTTTGCTTTTGAAAAAGCAAAACAACGACAAAGAGAATTGCGATAAAAATGTTTTATTTCTTGATGGGAAGAAATCAATAACCGGTGGAAAATCGGGGTTATAGGATATCGTGTTCGCATAATTCGAAATTCATTTTACGTCTCTTTCTCTCCCTCTCTTTCTCTTTTGGCGTCTTGTTTTTTATTCATAACATGCACGTAATAACAGCGACAGCGTTTGCTAATACAAGCCGCGTTGTCGAATTGAGTCTCAATTTACATTTAACGAGCACATTTTAAAAAATGTACGATACAAATTGTTCACCAGGAAAGTTCGGCCCGGATTTAAAAATCCATTTTCACTGACAGTTCTTTCTGTTTGCCGTCGTGTCACGGGGCAATTGTTTAATTAAACGTACGCGTTCGCAAAAATTACGTTGACACATTTTTTTTCTTCAATGCATCACACATGTACAATATGTGAAAACGAGAACGTAGCGCGCGTCTGTAAAAACAAATTGCCTTTCAGTTACAAATTTTAGGATTTTTTCCAAGCGTACAGTAATAAATAGAAAAAGAGGAATAAATTAAACTGCATGCTACTGATAGTTGTTCATGCGGTGTGTGAATATCGTTCAAATGTTTCGATATAATGTGTTCGATATTGTGCATTTGACGTGCAAATAAACAATGTTTCAAGTCAGTATGTAATATATATTATACACTGACCTGTATAATGTAATACTTTTACAATAAGCGTAGAATTAAACATCTGGAATTTACAATAATGTTATGTAAAAGTATTAAACAATACAAGTTAAATACCAGCGCGTTACTGAATTAAGTATAAAATCGTTACAGAATAGTAATTAAACTAAATTACGATCGCTTATCACTGTATAATCCAAATCAAACACTCCATAAAATAAACAAAATAATCTTATATTTTCGCAATTAATCGTTAAATTTTTACATCTCTGAAAACCCTAAATATCCCGTGATGCATATCATTGTCGATTAATCATCAAACCATCAACTTCTGAATTATGCATATGGATACAAGAGAAGAGAGTTAAATCGATTTCGAAGAAACTTTTCGCTGAAAATCAGCTGTCCGGCCAACTGGCGCTGGAAAATTCAATTTCAAAGTACACGGTTGCTTGGACAATCCGTAGGCATGGCAGAAAGCTAATCAAAACGTGACTTGCTGGGACGAGCGTGATGCAGTGTACACAAACGCGGGGATGGATCGGTAATCTCGACCGACAAGAGGCCACGACGAACATAGATACGTACGTACCGTTCATCTTCCGCATAAGCCGGGTGGGAAACGTAAAATTACACGCTGACATCGATGATTTCAAGACTTCCAGTTCACGGGCGAACAACGGTCTACCTGAACGGTTTCCTTGGTCTACACGAAAATATGTCGAAGATGTTGGATTAGGTCGTGAATTCCAAGAATTCTAAGCCTGTTTCGGGGTTAGCTTTTGTCGAACGAAATCACAAGAGGCGCGGCATCGACAGCCAAAAATAACGAGCCAAATTCTAATTCCGCTGCCTGGGAATTTTCGAAATTCCTGGCAACTCCTCGAAATACCATTCGGAGATGCCGATCGCCGCGAAAAATTCTCTCTGCACCATCTCGGCCCGACCATTCGACCTGACGTTTCCGGGTTAACGATAACCGATAATCTGAAGCAAAACCAAAAGTGGCGAGACCAGAGGCTAAGATCGGCTTACCCGAAGCCGCCCTCGTGTCTCCTAAATATTGGTTTCCCACCAATTTGCGAAACAACGCAGACAGACAGTCGGACACGTTGGTGTGTGGTTGGTCTTTCCGACCAAGTAGATCAAGTGTATTTCGAGCGCGTTGAATCAAGTAGTCAAAGATCGCGAGTGTTCCTCCAGACGCCTGGCTGTCCGTTGCACAGGAGGCCGTAAAACGCACGCGAGCCAGCGAGTCCGAGTATCAATAATTCTGACGCTGGTCCGCTCGTGGGAGAGGATTATCGCGGCCACTTTTATCGGAGAGGCTGCAAAGAAGAGAGAAAAGAAGGGAACACGGGCCACGTGAAACAGGGGAAACTAACGGCACAAAAGATAATCATAAATGATGCTCGGCTGCTACAGACACTCGGGCAGGAGGGGGAGGAGGACATGAAAGAGTCATGCTCCGCGTGGTGCAACCGACACACACACACACACACACACACACACACACACACACACACAGAGAAAGAGGACTACTACTTTTCACCCTTTTTCCACCAAACTTTATCCCCGGTATTTGTCACGATCCGTTCGACCGTGTGTCAATTAAGAAAGAGACAATACTTTCGACTAGCGTCGATTTAATCTGAGAGCCTTACAGAGCGCTACAGCAGTTTGGTAGAGTGACAGCGAGATAAAGCCATTTACCAGAGAGAGAGAGAGAGGGGGGGGGGAGAATTTTTACAATATAATAGTTCTCAACGTGTTGTCTATGGATCGTGGAGCCATCCGCCCGTATTGTCTTCAGTTTGCTGTTTAGGAAGTTTGACGGTTGCGTTCGTTTGAATTAGTCGGGTTTGGTTGGGTTTTCGCGAAATGGATTCACAACGACGATGGAGAACGATAATCAGTAGATTTTTATACGGAACATTTTCACTGATGCAGAAGTGGAATTCGATTAGAGAGTTGTCTAATACTTTCATTGATGACCTCATGTCACGATGAATACTTTATTTATAATACTATTTATAAATATTAGCAAATTATGAATTATTACTATTTTTATAAAGTTTTAATATTTTCAAATTGACATTTCTCACAGTCGTATCTTGAATATGTAATGAGAAACTTGTAGAATAATTACTAAGTACAGATGGAAGAATTTTATAAATAAAACTAATTGCCTTCATCTATTACAACTTAAGAACGACGAAACAGAATGTTTTGAATTATTATATGCCGTTACATACAAGAATATAACAGAAGAATATAGGAAGAAGAAGCTAAGGATACGTATGGAATTGAAGGTAAGAATACAAAAATATATTGAAAAACATAATACTTCAAAGAACAAGAAATATGTTCTTACAATTTCGCCATGTGCCACATTTTCAAGTGAAAAGCAGCAAATCTCAAAGAAAACGATGAGACCAATACCTCGTCCACGATCGAGGCATCTAATTTCTAATTTCCAATTCACTCGTCTCCTAGTATTGCCAATTGACCAACGTTTCCAATCAAACCTCCCCCACCCCACGAACAATCGCACTGAGCAATCGTCGAATCAGGAAATATTCGGGAAACAACTGCTTCTTTCGTCACTCGACGGAACCCATATCCGCCGTGAGATAAATCAATATCCAGCAATACCGAGGGGAACCTAAATTCCGTGACATCGCTGTAAATCTTCCGGACGTTTTTACCACCTTCCCCCTCCCCCTCCGTGTCTTCCGAGTCGGTTTTTCGTCCCGGACATTTCCCAGGAGCTGATGCCGCGAGTCGCGTAATCATCGGGTCTATCGGCAAGTTTGAGAGCTCGGTTCGTCGACTTTAATTCAATTTATCGAAGGACATGCCGAAGGATAACCGAGTTGCAGAGCTATCAGGCTGCAATGATCTCACGCTCTGAGAAACTTTTCACGAACGCATCGTTGAAACATTTGGAAATTTCGTTAACGGAGAGAACTGTCGCGAGAGAATTACGCTGGTAAAATATGAAAATGCGTGTACAAGTTGTAAGATGTTTAGTGCAAATGTACATTTCGACGATCTGTTCCAACCCTTAATCTCTAGACTAGTGACACATAGGGCAAGTTTTGATACTAAATAAAGAGAATACTATAAGATGTAGAAATATCGAAATTAACTCAGCTATTTTCAGAATTTAATCGATGCATCGTCGCGATCGATTTCCCTTGGCTTTTTAAAAGTGAAATTTGATGCCTTCCCTCCTGTTCCAAATAACGTTCATTTGATAAAGTTTTTGAAGATCCTAGCTCCTCAAGCTTTTTCAAATCTCAGAAAGTTTGCACAAACTTATATATATATATGCCATATTGGAAGTATCTATAGATGCGATCAAGCTTTCTCTTCCATGAAATTAATTAAAAATAAGCACCGAAAATCGAGAATGATCGATGAGAATTTACAGAATTCGATGATTCTCGCTACAGAGTTAACAGACAGAGTTAAATCAAGAACAAACAGGCTCGTAAATAAGTTATTTTCTCTTTTTCTAATGTCCTTCTTTTGTTGTTAAAACAATTTAGTCGCGCATCGAAGCTCACTTGAGAAAATATTGGCACGTAGGATACAAAAGTTTAGCAATCCCTACTCCAGACCCTAATCAACAGAAGCTTATCATTAACACTTATCACGCGAATGTCTGTGCATTGTCATACTTTTAGAAACCTAGCTAAATAAATAAAAGTTACTTAACAGACGAAACAAATTTTTAAATCCTCCACTTTGGAAACTTCCAAACGTCCCAAAAATTTCCTATTACGTTCAAGACCATGTGCCTATTCAAATCGTGTGCCAGCAATCGCAACAGCTGATGAAATTTCAGAAACGTTTGTACAACGTGCAGAAAACACAATTTAATATTTGCAAACATTCTCCGTGCTCGATGTTCGAATACCGACCATTGTATCGTACTTCCGTTTCGTTCAGTCAGTGAAAAAACCACAGCGAGGCCGCCACAAAATTCAACGTTTCGCGTTCGGTGTTTTGCTCGCGATCCTGGATTTATTGCATCGTCGACGAAAGTTGGACGATACACGGGAACGGCGGTCGGATCTGGGTTAGTTATCCCATGAACCCAATTAAATGGATGAAATTAAATTAAGTAACCGACGTCTGAGTCGTTGCTCGATATAGGTTAGCGGGTTAAGTTGATTTGGCACGGGATACGTCGGTTAGATAGGTTCGAGCGAATTATGCGGGCCGGGATATGTACGCGCTAATCAGCTGGCTGGATTGGCTACCGTTTAGGTTAGGTGTAATAACTAGAAGTGGATTAGACGCGTCATCAAAGGTACCGGCGACGTGGATAAATGAAATAAGTCGGTCGGTTAGATCCGATCGAGTAAAATAAGTTAGGCAAATTCAGGGATACGCTGCATTAAGCAAATTTTCACACGCGAATTACGGCCGTTAGGTCGTGAACTGCGTAGATTAAATATACGCGGGTTAACGAGCTGATTGAATTAGAATCGAGTCAGATTAAAGTATTTAGTCGTGGCGTGACACGCGAGCTCGCGAGCTCGGGTTTATTTCGTTCTTTCTCCGAATGTGCGATTATTTGTATTATTTCGGACGAGGGATTGGAACGTACAATATACCCAGTGACACGATAAATGTTAATAGTCGACTATAGTACAACAATTTTTCCGACGCGATGTCAAAAGTGAGGAACAAGCATTGTACAACCAAACCAAAGGAACTTGTTACGAGTATTCAAGTATGTTGGAATTTGACGACTCAATTCTGACAATGGCGGATAAATAAATAGAAGATTAGGTCAAGCAACATTGGGTCAATCGATAAGTTAAATTTTCAAAGTTTCTAAAGAACGTCACAACGTCTAAAAGTTGCCCTCTCGATTACTTTTCGAAGAGACAGTCCGAAATTAACCTAGTCTCTAAAATGTCAAATTATTTCTCTCCGACCTCGAAGCCTACCAACCTCGGTTCTAACGACCAGTTTCTCTCAACAAAAGAGAGACAAACCAGAACTGAAGGTCATTTCACTGAAAAATGGAATATCAGCTGGTAAACTTTTAGATATCGAGTGCTCCGAGCCACATGTTAGCGTGTTGAGTATCGCGAACGTCGGATTCCACGGGCACTTAAGCGACCGCGTTTGAACTCCATTTTCAAAGTGGAAGCTAGATAAACATTGCCGATCGATCTGCCGAGGGTTGATGCAAGATTCTTGTGACCATTACGCCCATTACGTACGAAGGAGCCGCTTGTACATGACAGAAGGCGAGGAGAATAAGCGACAGTAAAAATAGAATAAAAGAGAGGCTGAGAAAGGAGAAGATATCTGAAAGGGGGACATGAAAACGATGGTAGAGAGCCAGAAAGAGAGAGAGAGAGAGAGAGAGAGAGAGAGAAGAAAAAAGGATCTGTAAAAAGGGGGAAGGGAAGGTAGGAGGAGAAGGAAGCAAACTGGAGCTGATGAGATGCAGGAAACGTCGCGGAGAAGATAGAACACGAACGTTTGGTTTTTTACGACATCCTGCTGTTCGGCTAGGTTGCCAGTTATTTCATTTGAAACGAGATAACCCTGTTTCCATACCCTTTCTTCTTCTTTTTACCACCCACTAAATTTATCCCTCTCCCATCCCGATGAATTATTCTATTCTATTTGCGAAAACGTCGACCCATTTTCGACGAAAAAATTTTTACTTAGTACAAGTAAAGGTTGCGTTAAATTAGGATAAACTCGTTGACGAGAAAGTATTGCACTGTCGATAATTTAATTATTTTCGTTAAGAAGTAAGTTTAGTTCATTTAGTTCTCAATAGATTGGCAATGTCTCGTATTTTATACAAATTTTCGAGATACATATTTTTACGTAGTTTCAACCACTTCGTAGCAGTCGATTTATCAATCGTCAATTATATCGTGAAACTATTTTTACACACTGAGATGCTTAGGTTTCGAAAATTGTAACGTAACTGCGTGTGACACGCTTCACGCAGAGCCAAGGACTTTCACCATTATTCTATAAAAGCACATGAAACCGAACGGAGAGTACTTTAGACCCTTCTGTTATAAGTGGTTCAGAAAAAATTAATTGAAAAGTAGATTGAAACAAAATGCTAACGTATTACGGGATTTAGGCTGACGTCATGAAATAACCAGCCCTTCCCCACCTTCCCCTTAAATATTTATCTACGTGCCGCGTGTAAATCTTTTTTAGCTCCGTATCAAATTATACGCGCGTCATAAATTTTCAACTTCATTTTATTCACAGCTACGAAAATGACACGCCTCTCTAAATCGTGTAGAAAAAATTTCCACTTCGTTTTGTCGTCTCTTTAAATAAAAGTCACAGCAATCGAAACTAATTTTTTTAATATCGTCAGATACGAATATCCAACGAAAAGCACGAAAAAAAAAAATTGCGAACAGTTGCAACGAGGGAAAATCTTTTTTGCAAAATTCAAAACGGCGGTGCAGCTGCAGGAGTATTACACTTGGAATCTAAATTTCAAGAATTTTTCTGCTTCTATCTGATTAGCTTATAGTCCCCCCGGTATTATTTTTCATCGATCGGAATAATAGGAAAAAGAGGATACAAAAAAATCCCTACAAAAATATCCGCACTAATGTATGCACATACAGATACGTTTGAAATACCTGATTTGAATACATTCCTTTTTCTAAATGTGTTCCGTGAGACGATATCTATGTAACGTTGCTCGTGTCATGTATTCAAAGAAACGTCTGATCACATACGAATCATGAAACTATTTGTTCTGTTCCTTGCCTCACATCTTTTATTCATTCTTTTGAAAGTAATTACCTTTGTGAACACACACGTCTAATTACATAGAATTTACTTTACTACTTTTAGCATTTCTCTGGTATTTTGTCATTCTTCTCCGATTCCAAATATAATATATCGTGTGTTTCAATCGTCGTGTATAAATTCACGGGATAGAATGTTATATTAAATACAACGTTTATTATTTAAAAAATAAATTCTGAAAGAATTAATTATCTAGAAATATTCGAAACTACTATGTCTCTCAACACCTTGATGAACAGTATTAAAAGCGTGTTAAAAGTTTACAAATAAATAAGAAAAGAAAACTATTTACTATATTCCTCTTTCTACATACCAAGTAATCCCATCACTGCTCGATGATCAAACCGGTGAAGCCAGCTGAACCAACTAAATCTTTAGACAACAATTTAACAACGTGCCGCGAAGAGAGAGAGAGAGAGAGAGAGAGAGAGAAGGAGTTTCCAGAGCTCTGCCAGAATCGCCCTCGATCTTGCAAAGTATCATTCAGAAGATGTACGAGCAAACGCGAAGGAAGAGGTCGGCTTCCTCTTCTCGCTGTTTATCATCCGAACTATCACGGCCTCACTCCCTCAAAACGTAACGCCGTTTCGGAAGGCAGATAAACAGCCACTCATGCCCTGGCTACGTATTAATTACGGTCGCAGCGGAGGGAACCAGCTCGGTGATCCAGCTGCTGCACCCCCTTCGCTGGAAACACGGCCGTACACGCAAACACACGGTGTACATGTAACACGCGAGGCGGGTTTTAATTACAGAAAAGCGGGGATACAGGCAAACGAACGGGGATACAGGGATAAAAGAAAAAAAAAGAGCGCGACGCGGAGCCACCCTCTTCCCTCCTCCGACGTACGCGCGGGGGGTCACGACTTTTACGAACTCTCCGCTTTAAATTCGTTCTTTGACGTTTCGTGCACCGCGAGAGACGGTTTCCGCTTTCCATCAGGCTCACGACCTTCGCTCCACCGCCGTCAATTACGACTTTTATCATCGGAGAGAGACTTAATGAAGAACGGCGAGATCTGATCGAATGGAGTAAGATGATCGCTGAATGGTCGGGGATATCTGTGTGAATGCTCGCGGCTGTAGAGCGTGAAATTGTTGAACTGGTGCGGAAATTTTCGTCGCGTCGAGACTTCAAGCGTTTCGTACGTACGTACGTACGTACGTCGACTGAGTGTTTGCGCTGGATAATACGGTAATTGTTTCTAGTTGTTGGTTCCAGTGATAACTAGCAAGAGGAGATCAACGTATGAATAAATTTTTATAAACATTTGTAACAAGATGGCGGATTTTTGTATAGCAAATTAGTTATTTTTTTTATAGTGTTTCGCATACGTTGTATAAGATTATGCGCAATTTTCTAAACGTGCGAAATTTCGAAATTCGCAGTCCGACTTTTTATTTCGCTCTCCACGCATCTCTAACAAAATATGGAAGCTTCTGTAATTATTCTGTAATGTATTGCGAATATGAGATTATTAAAATTTATTCTTCGAGCATCACGAATGGCTCAAAATTCCATTAGACACGTTATTCATAATTTTTTTTATTCTCACACGCGAACTAGAATTACAAATAAAAAAAAAATAGCTAACTTTGTTTAGAATTTAATTTATCGACATCGAATAACGGAAATGGAACACGCGATAGATGACCACGACTTGTATGCATTTCAAAAGTTTGAACAGTGACATATGTATATACAATATTTTGCACTTCCGAGTATCTCGAGAGCAAAGTTTCAGCAAAAAATTGTTTTACGCTTTCAATTGATATACGATAGTTGTATCTATCCTCGACAATATTTAACGTCGAAGTGGGAGCCCCGATAGAGAAAACACTATTTTACAATTACTTCGATTTGGACAGTAATCCTATATTTTATCGTGCCATATACAAGTCAATGTAGCGAAATTTTTCGGGTTGAGTTTTTGTTGAAATTGTATAGATTTTAATTCATAAATAATAAAAAAAAAACACAAACTACAAGCTAGTATATCTAGAAAGTGAAAAATTTTGTCAAATTTTCGTTTTTTAGGATATTCTCAGATTAATTCTGTTCATTCTTTTATCGAACGATAATACTCAATTCTATTTTTTTCTAAAAAAAAAAAAAAAAAACGAAATTTCTCATCATAAAATCTTATTCTGTCACATTTGATCGCAAAATTCATTTCCACTTGCGTCACGAACTGTACGCGAACAAATAAGGAAATGTAATTTTGCGCAATAAAATCGTACTTAATATGACAGATATAATATTTTAATCCCATTACCGCGACAGAGTTGGTCGCAGCTGCCGCTATCGAAGGCAATCGAGCCGCTTTATTCTACATTTTACTGCATACGTGTCAAACTCGGCATGTTGGTGAATTTTTTTTGAAACGTCCGATAATACACAGATTCACCTGGGATATTTCGATATAGGTACGGACCTAAATTACAAATTTCACAACGAGTAATAGAATTTTATTTCATTTTATTTAATTTTAATCTTTATTTGCTATTTCACTTTATCGCCAGTATATTACTGTTACTGATTCTGGTATCATTTTTGTCATAGTTGTCACGGCCATTGGACGAAAACAATCGTTCAAATAACTGGAGATATGAATTTACGTACGAATTATTCGCAGAGAGATAAAATTTCATATGATTCTGTTTATTAACTCTCTTAAATGAGATTTGGACGAAGAACACACGTCTGACCATATACGGTCTACTGCTACTTGCAATGTCTGCTTTATTCTTCTTCCTTTGTTTTAGTACGCTTTTATTTCGCAATATTCGTTCTAGAAAATATATGTCTGATCATATATAATCTACTACTACTTTTGCTGTCTGATTTACTTATTTCTCCTCTCTCTTTAACATTCTCATCTTACTATAACATCACACATGATACATAGCTGAGTATTACGTATTATTCACATACGTCTGAACAAAACTAACATTGAATTATATTACTCATTAACGTAAGGAAATTAATTAAAAAAAACCAGTTGAAGAAGATAAAAAAATTCTGTTCCGACTAACGTAGAATTCTAAGCACAGACAAATCTTCAAAACAGAATTCATATCTATCAATGATGAATTCTCTTTTAACATTTATCTAGAAATACAGTTCATAATTTTTATGTACAATCTAGTAATAATGATATCTCTTTTAATACTTGCAGATCGTCATCGATTGTTTGACCAAATGTCTCTGAACGAGTTTGCAAATTCAACAGATTTTACATTTTCAGAGGATACGACAATTCTCATTTGTTACACAACTATTCTGCATACAGATGGCGTCTCTTTTGCATGATAGTATCTTTATCCGCCGTCGTTACAGAGAAAAGCAAATGATATCAGAAAAAGATCAGCCGATCTAACAAAACCCTCGTCCTTTTCTACCTTGCTTTTAAAACAGAACACGCCAACAGAGACGAGCACAATGTTATCGCCAGCAAGGCCGCGACAGCATCGTCATAAAAACGCTTAATTCACTTACAACGTAATGTGTATTACAACGTAAAGCCACCGCGTTATGTACCTTGGCGACCGTCCGCAGAGTTCGTGGTTTATGAATTTACAATTTGCGCGAGCGCATTTTCGACGTGCTCGACTCGCTCGTCATCTAATTACGAGCACGTCGTTTTTATACCTGAAACTGGATCATTAATGGACTTTTATAAACGTTACCAACGAAACGGAAGCTGATTAGAAATTTGTTTGAATGTTACATCGATTTCTCCACTTTAGATATTTTATATTTCTGTAGATAATTTCTACTTTCTGCAATATACTCTCAAGCTTCTCATAAATTTCGTAAATTAATATTCATATTCATTTTATTAATATTACATTATTTCCATTCGTAATCATAATTCTCAGTTGGATGATTATCACATTTATATACACGAAATTACACCGAATTTGTTCAGAATATAAACTGCGTCGAAACTAAAGAGATGGATGACGGTATGACTTGTTAGGACAGTGCACCGAGTATTTCGCCATGTCAAGTTTTTCGAACGAATGCGAACGCGAAACGCGCGATCTTCTGCAACATTCCGCGAAAGGAGAAACGCAAACGGTGTAAAACGTTCGAAATTTGTTTTGAGAACGACTAGAGGGATAAACGAAACGCAGCGTGAGCGCGCGGTTGAAATGATTTCAGAAAGCGTCGCGGGAAACGAGAAGGGAATTTACATATAAATCCCATCCCCGCGTCCCGCGTGCTCGCTAACCCCTATTCCCTTGGAGTTTATTTTAATCGCGAGTGATTAACCCCGACACACACGCGAAACGCATCGCCAACGGCTCGATTGCGCTTCACGCACGGCGCGAAACAAAACGATGGCGATACGAAACGAAACGAGACGAAACGTTCGACGAATCCACTACCGTGACGAGGAATACAGCCACGATTCTTCCATTTACCCGATGCAATGCACCGAGCACGAGAAACTTTTTTACCGGGATTTTTTTCCACGCCGAATCCACGTTCATTTCGCATAAAAGAGCTCGAAAGAACTAAAACGTTGCACGCGTTCCTTTTTTTTTTCTTTTTTCTTTCGTTTTTTTTTTTTTTTTTTCNCACCCAATTACTCCGACGTAACAAAGAAACGGAGTGAAAGTAATAGCTGATACGACGTATTCGTGCTTAATCGAATGCGTCAATATGATCAAGTCCTTTTTCGGGGCATTCAGTGAAGTAGTACGAACCGTTAAAAGTCCGACGTTTCACGTGCTACACTCTGACGTGTACCATGTGTCACAAACACACGCGATTTTAATTCCGTGGCTTCTAGATAACGAACATCTGTGCAGCATGAAGTAGTTAGACATATCATACGTGCCACGGTACCAGAAGATATTGTTGTCCAAATGTGTTCAGCAACCACTGAAGTAGTATTACATATATATTTTGAAGCATTTGGTGAACAGTGCAACTCGTTAATGGTCAGACATCTCACACATTACATTCCGACTCCGAAAGCTATTAGAACGAACATTGCATCGCGTAACAATAGTCAAAGATACCAAGGTCAGAAAAATCTCGTCCCTTTTCCATCGAAAATGTTCCATCGTTGTTTCGTCCAAGTGCAACTTGCGAAAAATTCCACTGCGAGTGAAAAAAAAAAAACACAACTTACGTGCGCGGGAACAAGGTTGCCCGACACGACCCATCGTTTGGTATCCCAATCAGCGGGCGCTACAGTACTCTGGGTGGTATAATGAATTAAATCATTTCGTGGCCGTGACGTGCGTACATAGCAGGTGAACCTTCCTGCATAGCCGCAATGGGTTTGGCGGTCTAGTCGATAGTCCGGCCATCTGCAAACAATGTTACAACGACCGCAAACCTGATCGAAAGGGTCGATGTGTCGACGGCCACTTAACCGATACCAGGCCCCAGGCTTAATTCCAAGACCGGCCACATAAAGATTTCCCGCGATACAATTTAGCCTACGTGTGCATGTATGCATGGCGTTCGATCGTTACTACTGTTCGATGATTATCCAATGGTATGCTAATGAAATCTCTTCATTCGGTATTTAATGCATCGTCACGTATTGGTCTGTTCTGCAACGCTACGTTTGGAAGCGTGACAACCGTTGGAAGTGTGTAACTCGTGATACCCTTTAAATGGCAAGTGATTGCTCGATGAGTCGGAAATTAGTGAAACGTTACTGAAGCTGGCATGAAATTTGTTTCATCTGCTGTTTTATCTATTAAATATCTGCGCCAGGATATTTTCCAACCGTTAAGTAACCCAAAAATGCACAAACGTTCGCGGTCACAGTCATTGGTCAAGCGTGTAAACAAATTATTTTGCTGCAGGAAACTGAATTTTCAGCACGAAAATTAAATATATTTCGAAGGGATAATTTACACTGAAAAAAAAAAAAGAAGCAAATATAACGCAACGTGTACAATATACTGCGCGTACCTCTGAGATTCTAAATAACCGATTCACCTACACCGCAGCATTAAATTTAATATTTCACCGCTATCCTGTTTCAATATTGAAGGTTATTAGTAAGGTACAACTTCATAAATTACGATGACCTGATACTCGTTCCACGCTGGCACGATATAATTCTATCGCTGGAACTTTACGCGAAAAATTCTAATAATGGAGCGGCCATCTCCTAAAAAGTTTATCTCCTTTCCCAAACTGTGTCGCAACGTTTTAATAGCTCGCACGTGACACGAAAACATTTCATTTCAGCCGAGACGAAAGTGTTGCAGCACTCTTAATGATCTCCTTGCCGGGGGAATTTACACTTCCGCTCGCATGTGCAGCGCACAGGGAGTTACGAAGCAAATATTCCAATTAAACTTCCAACTAAACTTCCACGTCCTGGATCCGGCGCCGGTGTGTTTTTACGTCTGACTATGTCGGTTTCACTGCGACTTACTAACGAAAGATCTCGCTAGGTTCTGGCAGGCTCGCGCGACATGGATCGCTGCGACGATGTTCTCGCTCGAGTCGATTACCAGCCATTCGAGCAATTTAATTTCATGTTGCGTGACGTCGAGGAATTCGACGAGCCGCATACTTAGCTGCGTGTCAGGCTTCGAAAATTAGATTGTCTGAGCACCACGCGACTCTCAACAGTTCCGCGTCATTGAATATTACAGCGATCAAGTGTTACATTACAACTGTATCGTTAGTTGGGTTTTGTGTGACACTCGTCAATTATCATACAAAATGTTCAATACGAAGTTTCTCTAATTCGTATCAGTTTCCTACCAATCTCATTTAAACATTTGTTGATTAAAATTTATGCCTTTGTACGCTAATTTTCTGAAATTGTGCAGTATTGCATAATACGTTATAATTATAGGAATATTTAGGTTGAAGAATTCTATAATAAAATACACGTAAATGTTAAATACGCTCGTATTAAACAAATACACAGTCTAAATACGTACGCATGACGTAAAAATGGGTGTACGTTGGATTATTCCAATACCGGTGGCACACTTTTCGATTAAAGGTCGACAAAACGACGAAAGAGAGAGAAAAAAAAGAAAAATTGTACGTCAAATTTCATGGAGTCGTTGCAAAAGGAGAGATTTCAATCTTTAAACCCGCAGTGGATTTCGTTGCGAAGAATATTCTGCCCGTAGGGACGATTAAATTAAATAAAATCTTCCAGAGCAAAAAGTACGTTCACTTTCCCACCTGCTGTATGATGTATGAACACTGTAGGGGGAAAAAAATGAATCGGGGATTGTGAAAATAGAGACAACGTGCTTTGAAATCAGACCAGAGTGTTTTTATTATTTTTCGAGGTTACAACATTTGAATATGATCCTGTCGAAAATCGAATCAATTAGAATAAATTTCAGTATTGTTAGATTTCGTAAAAACTATTTATTGTCATTCTATTAGAAACTATCAATCATTTGTTATTCCATCGAAGATTTCTAATCACTCGACCAGGATTATAGACACGTTTCATGATCAATCCAAATTTCAAATCAAACCATTTATTTCTGATTTCTACCAATTCAACTTCAGTAAATAAATTGCACAAACACTCACGCGAGACTGTACAAGTAAAGCTTCAAAGGAACTCGTAAAAATTTCAAGGTTCAACGTTCGCGTGTAACAGTTTCACCGAAAATCACTGCAAGAAATCACATCGAACGGCAGTTGAACCTGCGACGAACTTCCGCTTCAGCTGAGGTTGGTTTCACG